GCAGTGCCGTCTCAAAGGACATCTACCGTCACTTTCTGCAGTTTGGCCCGTAGCCGTAACCGCCTGTGCGCTTGCCTGCTGCTTGAGGCGGCGACAAAACCCATGCATCCGTTGAGGCTTTTTTTTTTGGCTTTCCTGTTTTTATTAGTTTGAGTTTCATTTTTTTTCTTTTGATGTTTTTCTCCATGAGTGATCTTTTCAAGAGGTGATGGGTGAAGCTTGCGCTGCAGGCCTCGAGTTTTTTTTTGCGTGTATGTGTTCCCCCCCCCCCTCGCCGTCGGTCGTCGCGTGGAGCTGCTAAAAGGCGGGCTGGGCACCCGTGCGTGTGTGGTGGCCACGCGTCGGCCCGAGGGATTCTTTCGCTGGCGCGCGGGGCAGCCGTTACCGCTGGGGCAAGAGCGGGGGCGGGGGGGAGTGTCAGTGAAGGTGTTGGCGGCGGTGCGAGTTGGCGGCGGAAGGCGTGGCGAGGCAGCGCTCTGCCCTGCTTCCTTTCCGTTTGTTTGTTTGTTTTCTTTTTTTTCTTCCTGCGTCTGCGTGCATGCGTTTGTCTGTCTGTCTGTCGTGTGCTTCGGCGGTGCCTCCGCACGCCTCTCCTCCTCCTTCTTCTCCTCCTCCTTCCGCCGCGGCGCCGGTGGAGGAGCGTCACGCGCCACCTCGACTCGCACCTGGGCGGCGGCAAAAAGGGCGAAGCAGCAAAGTGGGGGAGGGAAAAAGAGAAAGAAAATAAGAAAAGAAGGAACGAAGCTGTGCGGCGCCTCACACACCACGCGAAGCAAAGAAGAAAGAACCGAGCGGAAGCGGTAAAAGGAGTCATTTGCGATGTTTCATGGCTTTCCGGACGTGCAGCTAGCGCCGCGCGACACCGCCCTCAGCGAGCAGTTCTCCCTGCTGGACGGGGAGGACTGCGTGGAGACGCTGCTGCGGCCGACGGTGCAGAAGGTGCGGGTGTCCTTCGCCGCCCTGACGTACCTCGGCAGCCTCGCGCAGAACGCGACGTCGCACTACGCCCTCTTTGGCCGGGTGTGCGGGGTGCAGGTGAACGAGGCGATTGAGATCACGAATGTGCTGCCGCCGGTCCTCACCTCGCGGCCGCCGGAGGACGAGACGCCTGAGCAGCGTGAGGAGCGGCTGCGGGAGCAGCAGCGGGAGGAGCGGAAGATGTACGAGCGGATGGGGCGGATGCTGCTGAAGGAGGAGCTCGACAGCTACCAAGTAGGCCACTTCGCGGTGTGCAGCGCCTGCACCAACGCCCCCTACTCGGTCCGCACGGCGCAGCAGCTGGCGCAGCTGGCGGTGGACGGCCACCCCAGCGTCCTCCTCATCTACGACCCGTTCCGCACGAGCTTGATGGGCAAGCTCTACCTGCGCGCCTTTGTGCCGACGCGGGAGTACGTGGAGTTCTACACGAGAATCAACAACAAGCGCAACACCCTGCGGGAAAACCGCCTGATGCGGGACTGCCACGTCGGCAAGAGCGGGGTGCTGCGGGAGGTGCGGGTGGAGGTAGGCGTGGACGAGTACCAGCTGCTCTGCCTCGACGGCTTCAGCGTCGCCCCGCTCCCCAGCACCTGCGCCACCCTGCACTCCGAGACCATGGCGGAGTACACCGCCGCCCTCATCGAGTCCGTGCGCCACAACACCGACGAGCTCTCCCGCGTGCTGCACAGCGAGAGTTACTTCAGCCAGAAGGAGGAGAGCTACGGCCCGCTGGCGCAGCGCATCGACACCCTGCTTAAGCTGATGCAGCTGCGCGAGCAGACGCAGCACTTAGAGTCCATCTGCGACGGCGTCCTCCTTAACACCTCGCTGCTGCGCGATTTGTAGGCCCGCCCCCGCCCCCTCCGCACGCGCACGCACACAAAAGGGCGACGACCGACGAGGGCAAAAAAAGAAAAGAAAAGAAAAGAAGGAAAATAAAGTCTCCCAGCAGCGGCGGCGTATCCGGGCACCGGGAGGCCTCTCTGCACAGCGCTGGGCTGAGAGGCCGGGTAAGGCAAGAAGCGGAGGCATAAGCAAAAAAGAAAAAAACAAAGGAAAGCACACACGAAAAAAAGAAAAGGAAGAAAAAAAAGAAGAGGAGGGAAAAAGAAGAGAAGAAACAACCGAAAACAACGAAAAGAAAAAAAGAAACAAAAACAAAGTGACGACGCGGTACTATTATTAAGCGAAGGCTAACATGAGCATCTGTCTGGTTCTTGATGCTGAGAGTATAAACTCTCTCGTTCTCTCTGTCCCTACGTACACACACACACACACATACATACATTTATACATATATTTATATATGTCTATGTCCATCTCAACCTCACGGCGTGGCGCCCGTGCATCTCCCTCTGAGTGTGAGTGTCTGTGTGCTGCGGAGCATACTGTGCAAGTATCTCTCCTTCTTTCTTGCAATTGTTTGCATCCACCTGCCACGCTGGTGCCGCCCAGCATCGCACCCGAGGCAGATATATCTGTACGCGGCGGGGCAACACGAAAACCCGTGAAAGTAGCATCGTAGTAGCAAGAAGAGGAAAAAAATATCCCCCTGCAAATAATACAAGGACTGCACATATACCGACGTGGCCGTCTGTTGAAAATACAGGCATCGACAGCACCACCCACAACTAATCTCATATACACGGAAAAAATCCTTGCTTATTCTTTTTTTTTATCCGTTCCATGGAAGCAACAAAGATGCGGGGCTCATTAAGTAGTGCCTCCTATGGCACTTGTGATGAACTGGAGGAGGAATCTAGGCGACGGCGTTCGCTACTCGTGGAGACTGTGCGCCGCAAAACCCCAATTCGTGTAAGCCCCACAGAAGGTGAAGATATCGGGGTGGACATTCAAACGGATCTTGAGAATA